ATCTAATTCATTTCCGTAATTTATTCTACATCTTTAATTATTGCCTTTTTCTCAAGTATTATGTAAATACATATGGATATCTCTTATTTATACAGTTCTATATAGAGTACAAATGCACAAATCTGTACATAAATCTACTGTTCCAGATTCATACACATAATTTTTTTGTTAAGTCTTACTATTTAAATGTTTTTTTCTGTTCTCATGTCAGATGTGTATGTATGTATGCATGCGTGTATGTACCAGGAGCACCTGGTAAAAAAAATAAATAATAATAATTCCTAGTGTGTTTGCGCACACCTGGCGAATAAAGCTAATTCTGATTCTGATTCTGATAACTTTGCAACTACATGTCAACTAGCAGTCATTAGAGTATTAGTAGACTGTCTGCTTAATATCTACGAACACTTTATTTTGATGGTCACTCAAGAGACGTTCTGCTTTGCAAGTACGGCAACCTAACCCTAACCTAACAGTCTACAAATGCTCTAATGAGAGTTAGTTGACATGTAGTTGCAAAGTTACTTACAGTTAGTAGACGGTCTAAAGTGGACTATCGAAATAAAATGTAACCAAACTTTTTTTTGTGTGTGTGAACTTGTGTTTAAACTCTAGTAAGCAATAATTTGTAGAACTGAAACTACAAATAAGTACCTGGAATTTTCATTCGCCATTCTATTTCTTTATGCTTTATTGAAACCACGAGTTTGGAAAAGTAAGTTTTTCAGAAAATTCAAAATGGTAGAAAAATGCAGTGAGCATATGTATAGATTACTTTAGGGCTTGAAGGATTTAGAAAAGAAGGTCATTTTGACTCCAGCTCTTAAGAGCCCAAATATGAACTAAATTGCAAATGTACGTTTGGGGTTTCCATGACTTACGGTCTCTAACATCCAGACACTTTTAGGGCAGAACAAAATTGGCAAAATAGTATAAATACAATGGGGTTCCTGCTACATTATAACACCTAATAACATCTCTAAAACATACATCTGAGCATCAACCATAAAATACTTTATTGAGACAGGTTACTTATACATACATATCCTCTTCTCGTCTCTATAGTGCTCCAAAAATACAAATACAAAACAAAAAAAAAACCCTACAAGACATTGCACAAAGATTGCGATAAAGAAAGCATAGGAAAATAATCAGTACCAAACTGGAGAGACTGAAAATATGGAGAGGATGAATTACTTAAAGTTACTTTGGTAGAGGAACATTAAAGTTTGAATATCATCTTTAACAATGGTGTCCCTCCTGACTGCACATTATGGTTTGGAGATAAATTAATTTAATGTTATCAGTAAGAAATGGAGGACAGGTTATGTAGTTTTAATGGAAAAGATCCAAAATCACTATAAAAGATCTCAATGTATTAGATTAAGATAAACTTTATATAAATATATATTGATGTTTGCATAACACTGCATCAGTGATATAAAAATCAAAAATGGAACTATTTTAAAATAAACTTTCACAGGAATCATCATTCATGTCTTCTTGCAAGTAATTACATACTTGGAATATCTCTGCATGTTCTAGCTAGCTATGCAGTATATTTGTATTAGTATGGGGTGTTCAATCAGGCCTGCACAAACTATACAAATATGTAGACTGAGTTCTGTCTCAGCATGCTTGATGGAAATCTTTGGGTGACAATATTCCATTTTCAACAGGACAAAACACAAGTGTATATTACAATTCATAATACAAATGACATACTGCTTGCCCCTGAGTGGCCATCTAATAGAGGATGAGAGGTTCAGGAGGATCCCCCTGTCTATGAGGGGGACTGTAAACTACGATGAGGGTCCTAAACGTCTAACAATCCTCTCTTTTTTCACAGTCACCACTGCAACAGTGATTTTACTGATACTGTCCATAACTGCGTGTCTCTTGGCCTTCTTTCGGGGGAAGCTGACTCGGGTCCTCCACAAAAGGACTCGCTGTAGAGGAAGAGAAGATGCAAATGAAGCAGCTTTAACAAGACAAAACTAAAGGTAATAAAACTTTTACAATGAAATACATGTATGTTAAAGACAGTGTTTTAAAGTACGGAGCCCTGCACATAACATGTGGGGGGAAACAAGATATTGTGGCCTCAAATTATTAATTTTTTCTTTCATTTTAGATAAACTGTGGCCACGTCATACTAATTAGTTCCCATTTTCTCGTTTTAGGTAAATCGTGACCCTGCTGTACTAATTAGTTTTTGTTTTTTTCATTTTAGGTCAATTGTAATCAGGGCCATGTTGTACTAATTACTTTTCCTGTTTTAGGTAAACTGTAAACTTGGCCACGTTGTACTTATTTGTTTTCTCATTTTTGGTAAATTGTTGCCACATTTTACTAATTCGTTTTTTTTTCTCGTTTTTTGGTAAATTTTGGCCACTTTGTGCCTAATTAGTTTTCTTGTTTTAGGTAAATCTTGGCTATGTTGTACTAATTTGTTTTCTCGTTTTCGGTAAACCGTGGCCACTTCGTACTAATTTTTTCAGTTTTTGGCAAATTATGTCCATTTTGATCTTTTTTGGGGGGGGGATAAATCATAGACACGTTGTAAGTAAGAGATTCCTTGTGCAGTATGGACAGGTTTTCTGATTATAACAGGAGGTTTCACTCAGTCAGTGAGCTTGTGCTGCGGATGAACTGAGCTGATACCAGCTTCACTGATTATAAGGGAGCTTCTTCGCTCACTTTCTGTGTATAACCCATTCATATTTTGAATAAAAGTTTAATTTTTCATGCTAAGTACACACTGCAAAGTTTCAGTTTCACAATATCTATTTTTTCACCCACATGTGCGGGTCTTGTTTGACACCTAATAATTAAAATTTTTGCAAATAAAAATAGAAACGTGTTGTAATCCTCAAAAACAGAATTGGCATTGTTGTGTGAACAATTCCTTTGAAGTTTAATAACTCTCTGAATCATCCGAACTTATTCTGACATGTGTAACTCACGATTCTGAAACTGCTGAGCTGTATATCTTGTAAGAAGAATCCCGAATCCCTCGATTAGAGCAAGCAGAATTCCCCCCATCATCGCAGAGCCCACCATGGCTAGCGGACCACCTGAAATACAAACAAGCACATTGTGCACACTTCCAGAGGTCATTTCAAGACCAGAGATTAATGCTGCATGTATATACTATTACACAATACTACAGATCATCAGATGACTATTTCCAGTAGGTTGTTATATATCACATATCTCCAATCTAAAGGCTGGAATACACTACACAGCTTTTTTGTAGATTTTTGGCCTAATTTTTAGTCTGGACAAGTCAATGCTACAGTAGTTTCCGAAAGTCAGACTGCAGATATTCAGAAGCTATAGTTGATAGATTTCAAAGAAAACTGTGTAGTATTTAATGGGAACAGAAAACAGTTTTTTTTAGCTTCAGACTATGATTCCATCCAGTTGGAGGACATTAAACATGTTTAATGTTCTAAACCGATTTTGGAACACAAACTGTTTTCATTTTTCGTGCTAGTCTCCTAGCAATGAGGCACAAGGTTTCTGCTTGAGTTTGTTGTGGTAATCTGTTATAGTGTGTAATCCTCAGTCGTTTAGTGTATGATGCCCCGTTTTTCCCTGAAATCTCTGTAATAAAGTCGGCAAGATGACTGTATGTTTAAAATCTGTTCGTATTTTAAAAGCTGTGTAGTGTATTCCAACCTTATTGTCTAATATTGTGGAATAACACTGATAAAAGAAAAACGACTATCATGCTAAACGTACTGCGTGCAGCCAGTATAGCTCCAGTCATGGCTCCACTGGTGATGGAGTTCCAAGGGTCTTCCTTACCCCGCAAACGCACAAGACCACAGTCTATGGTGGAAAAGAGCCCACCCCATACAGCAAAACTACCTACAGGAGAAACAGACCCATAGCACAATTTATAGTGAATCACTGATATACAAAATGCTAAAACTAGCCATACACAACACAGTTTTATACCACACGATAAACAAACACAAGAAAAGATTCGGCAACATCACCTCCAATTTGTGGTGCTCTTACTCTCACAGCATTTGCGCTGCCTCTTAGCCTGTGTCGTACACCCTGTAGTAACAGAGTGTGTTTATTATTAGTAACTGAATAGGAATGTGTTTTAGTGATAGTAATATATGAGCTCATTTGTTTTGTTGGTGACAGTGAAGCTTACCACAGGCGCGTTTCGAAAGCCTTTAACAGACTGGAACACCCCTCCTCCAATGGCCCCCATGGTAAATGCACCGCCACAGTCATCAACTATCCTCCATGGACTAAAAAATATGAAATGAAAGAGCTATATTTTTAAGAAACCATATATCAAATATGATACTAATCATAAAACACCTTTGCAAACATTTTTAAAGATTTTCTTTTATATTTTGTCTAATTGTTCAATAAACTGTTCTATTAAAAAACTGTTTTTTTCTGATTATGTGACATGTCAAGCGTTACTGGGATAAATCATTTAAACATGTCATTTGGTACTAAACAAGAAGTTAAAGCTGCAAGTGCAGTAAAACAGCGAGTTTATTTTGCCCCTTCACTTCTGAGCACTGAAGCGAGATGAGATCCCACATGATAACATGTTTATCAAACACTCGCTGTAATAATATGTCAACAGTGTGTGAACTGAGACAGCAGCTAGTGTACAGCATGACCGTGGAGACACCAGCATGAACACAAACTGCTTTAAATCGCAACTGTCCCCGACATGAGCTGAAGTGCGGAGCGCTCAGAAGTGAAGAGAGCTTGAACTTTACCAGGGTTCACGCGCGTATTCCTCCATGATAACCTCCTGACGTCAGACAGCTCGCTGCTCGCGCAATTCTTCCGTGACAGGAGGCTCGGTTTGCAACAAATGAACTTCTTCTTCTTCTTCTTGTACGATTTTATGGCGGTTGACAAGCCAACTTATGGTGTAACAAATGAACTTGAGTTGAGTTATTTAGTTTTACTAGACACATTTGTCCTTAAAAGATTTATTTGTTAATGCATATTTGTTGCAAGGATTAGAGCCACTCTCTGTCAATTGGATAAATAATATGTCCGATTTTCAGTGGGATTTTTTTAGTGATCTGTGATGTTTTCGGTTCGCAAAACAGATCGGATGATAGTTTCATTTACTAACCAGACAGGATCTGAAATAACCATGAGCCCTGTGACTTCAGGACCGTATCCCGTAATCGCAAAGACCAGTCGAGGCTACTGTAAAATATTAAAATCTAAAATATTTGTAATAAAATTATATATAATTTTATAATTATAAATTGTATTTATTTAATTTACACACACACACACACAACACACACACACACACACACACACAATCACGCTAATACTATCATAATCACACATTTCATAATATTTAAAAAATAAAACATCACATATAAATTCATATACCTTAGTGTTTCTGGCCAATCAAAATAGGTACATTAAATGATAATTTAATAATTTCATAGATGTTGAAAAGTAGGCTAATGCATCAGTCGCTTAGCGATGACGTTGTGAATAGGCCGACAGATGGCAATGTTTATTTGTTTTATTTGGACCACCCTACATTTTAACTGATGAACAACGATGAATAAATGACTTAGATATACAAGTTATCGTTGCATGTTACAAATGTTATAT